TGAAAATGTAACAGAATTCTAATTGGAAAGATTGCCGTCTCCTGGTCTGTAGTGTCGCATAGTCTGTTAGACAATACTAACATTTCATCGTCCTCATAATGGAGGCAGCAAGGACCTCCGAAACGTTGTTAAACTTCTACGAGACTGCACGGAACCACATCCCAAAGGACAGTCACATTCGTTCTCACCGCCGTGAGAAACTCCTAAATATTCGAATTATTAAGGAATTTATCTTGAAGTAATATTGGCTGGCGCACAAACACACAAAATCGACATTAAGTACCCTCTTTCGAGCGAAATTAGAGAAATACTTCGAATGCACCAAACTGATTCGCAAGAGTCCGTTTTGGAACCAGTAATCCAGAGATAACTAAGTGTGGGTGGAAATTATAGAAACAAGTGCCTTGGGACTTGTACAGGTATTAATTTTCTTGGTAAACGACAAGAAAAATGTAAGACAGGAAGATTAGAGAAAAAAAGCAATCTTAGATGCAGATTCTCCTGCTTTGATTTATAAAGTGAAGATTTCGAGGGGTAATAAAATTTGAAAATTACTACCACTGCTGATATACGTCTTATATGTGAAAAATATATGTAATTCTAATGTTAACGTTCGTTTGAGAGCACAGTAAAGCAAACTATGTTCAGTGGGTACGACAAGTAGCTCAGTTCACTCTTACAGGGACCTCCAAACACAACCTTGCGAAGCTAGTTTGTGGCGTTGGGTGCGTGTTGTAGCAGTTTCTGAGACAGCCTACAGTCGAAATGTGTGGAGGAAGCTAATCAGCTGGGGGCGACCTCACAATGCAAGATGGCAACACCCGGATACCCTCCTGAGAGTCATTGCAGCAGGCTCTAAGATAAAAGCATGGAAATATTCTGCAGATGTCTCTAAACTGCCTGGCTCGTGGTTGCCTCTACGCCTAGTTCTTCTTCTTCTTCTTCGTCTTCTTACATGTCCGTCGTGTTTCCTTTGTTGTGATTCAGTGTGCCTTCGAACAAGCACACTCAAGTATAAATCGAGGTAGTCAGGGCGGTGACTACGAAGACGTACGCGACGTGCTGTCTGGTAGAAGTTTACCAACTTTCAGAGGCCGTCGACGAGTTTAATCATCGCCCTGATGATGGAAGAACACTCAAAAACACCAATACAAAGAATTCTATTCACCATCTCAAAATTGGAAAAATATAAACATCAGTCGCTCAAGACAATGTCTTGAGTGCCTTAGCTCAATCCACATCTCCACATTCTATTTGTTTAAGGTTCGTTTTAATATTATCTTCCCATCTACTCCTGAATCTCCAAGGTAAAATCTTTCCTTCAGGTTTTCAGACTAAAATTCTGTAGGAATATCACGTGTGCCCATGCGTGCTGAATGTCTTTCCCATCTCATTCTCCTTGATTCGTTCCCCGTAATAATTATGGGAGAAGTGTATTGGTTATGAAGCTTCTCAGTTGTCTAATTATCTTGGCATATTAATGTTTTAAACGAAAGTGCTAACACAGCTGAGTTTTCATCCATCTTTCATATCTTACAAAGGGTTGTTTTATGTTATTTAAGGATGCCTTATCAACTATATAGTTTTTACAGCTTCCAAATGTAGACAGACAATAAATTTCAGGTTATAAATTATGGTGACAAAAGGGGTTGTGGCCTGGACGAACTGAGGAAAGCACGAACAATTTTTGACAGCCCTGTCTGGTATAGCCTTATAGTCGTATATTCGGAAAATTTAAAATTTCCTATTTTCGGGTGAATCACATCTGAAACGGTAAAACATTCATGGTCCTTGTTAGTCGATGGAAACAGGTTCTCACGCAAATGTTGCCGAGAGAAAGGTGAGATTTGTACTGAGCGGTAATAATAATGTTAACGGTGGTCTAGCGGTATGAACGCTGGCCTTGTAATCCTGGGGTCTCGGGTTCGATTTATAACTTGTGTTGGGCAAGGCCGTGGTCTAGGCAACACGGAGTTTTCCTCCGTGGCATCCCAACAATTACTCCATTCACACACAGAAGAAGGCAATGGCAAACCACTTCTGGATCATCTGCCAAGAACGTATATGAACAGGTCCCAGTCCGAGAAAAGGAGGGAAGGATCCTGTTCATATGGACCTGTCGTCAGACAGAACACTAATTAAATTATTAATAATAATAATGACTTTCCCAAAACGTTCAGTATGAAGTTGATTATACATGGATAAAGCGAGGTTGGAAGGAAAGCAGCTGTTTCAACCAAATTGAACCTGTGTGCCTCTAACGGCACCTACGCCAAACGTTTGTCATTGGTAACATGACGTCAGCAGGGACCCTCGACACTTTCCCTCTCAATCTGGACACAGAGGAAATAGCTGATTTCCTTTCTCGTCGACTGACCAATCATGTTGCAGGAACAAGGAAATAGCCTTTCCCAGTGTTTGTTTTTGTTTTTTTGTCGTTGTTTTGACAAGTGGGGGGGGGAGGGGTAACTCTTTGAAGCGAGGCATCGCTCGAATCGACGGATACTGTCAGCGTACTGTTTAATGTCACACGATGGGATGTCAAACAGTCTATGGTCTAAAAGATAGACTATGTATGAAAAATCACATGAGGTAAATTTCGAAACTTTTTCATATGGGTGAAACGTAAATTACAGATTTTTGGGCTATTAACACCATGGAAAACAAATTGTCAGCATTTTTGTACAACTTGGTGGCTCATTAATGTATTCACAAAATTCCGCTACAAAATCCTATTCTAATAACCAGATGAATCCAGTCCACACCTCATTTCTTTAAGAAACACAAAGAAAAATACAGAAATAGAAATAATATAATATATTCTATGCAAAAGAGCCCTTAAGAAGCTAATAGTCACACGGCTAATCAAACAATTCTCTGGGATTTTATAAAACCAGAAATTCCAATAACGTATTCAACTGTTCCTGTCCTGAGCCGGATAAATTTGTTCAGCACACCTTCAAACTGCATCTCGTAAAAATCTGTTTTAATATTATCATCTCAGTTATGCCTCGGTTTATAAGAAGAATAAAAATAAAAATCTAAAGACCTTCATCTGTTTATAAAAGAGTGGATAAAAATGTGTAATAAACTAAAGGATATAACTTGGAGAAGACATAATTTTACAAATGAAATGTCACCAATAGCAGAGCTGTTACACGTATTTACCAGCGTCCTGTAAACTGAAATGCAATGACGTTTTGTCACATTATACATAAATAAATGGAAACAAGTATCATCACACAGCGCTTTTCAACTTGCATTGCAGAACAGGACAATGCACCGAGCCTCGCACACTGCCATGTAATTTCATGGCCAATTTACCTGCTTTCCGGCGACCCAATTACACGGCACTAAACGACTTCTTAATTTAACGAACACTCGACAAATACATGACAGTTGTGTTCTCTCTTCATACACTGCGCCTAAACATATGCAGATTTTTTATGCAGAAAACCGCTCTGCTGGTCATTTTATGACGTCCAACACTAATAACGGCTTTCGTAAGAGCACGCCACTGGACTGAATCCTACGTCAGATGAATTCAATCCAGATCCCCACACCTTATTTAAGAGTAATTTTAATATCACCCTCCTACTCTCCCTCCCTTTCACGTTCAGAAATCCAAATTATGTATACATTTACTTTTTGCATGCATTCTACATGCCCTGCCCATCGCATCCTTGTTTGATCGGCATGGTACAGGCCACGACTGTAATCTTGAGACTTGCAAGGAACGCAGGAAGTCCGTAGCGTTAAAGGCAGACGCTTTCCTCCTTCACCCCGCAAGTCTCAAGACTACAGTCGTGGACTGTACACGGTAAAGCGTACATATTGCAAGATACATCCTTCATAATTCCTTTCTCTTAGATTCAACTGTCCTCCTCAACTCCCTAATCTAAAACAACCTGAATCGATGTTCTTCCATCACGGTGAAAGTCACACTTTCACCCCCATTTCAAACAGAACGCAAAATAAAACAATGTACCTGATTCCAGACAGGGCACTGAAAGCATTTACGTATTACACAACTTTGTTCATTACAGGAAAAAGCCTAGTGTTACAGCAGTTAAGTTGAAAATAATACCACGCCCTTGCGTCTGTTGCAATCTCGCGTCTCGCTACCTAACCTTCACCGTACATGATAATCGCATCACCGGCGACAAAACGTGAAACCGCAAATGGGTTCTCCCACCTAAAAATACTGAGTCCTAACTTCAGACTACGCCAGTCATCAGCCACAAACATACTAGCACTGATACGAAGCACAGGCAGACCAGAGCAAGACAGGAATCAACACCTCAGACGAGCGACACTGATGATGACGTCATCCCTCTTGCATGGCAGAAGTATGACGTATTGGATGGCCGAGCGTGGGGTATAGAGTCAGTCTGAATGACGTGTATTTTAAACAGCATATCGCGTATCACGAGATTTATAGAGACGAAAAATATTATTGAACACAAGAGTTTCCGTGCAGCATGCGATGTTCATGCTGTGTCCACGATCCCATTGTCCCCTGACAGTCCCATTAGACACTTACGATATCATAGATTACTGAAGACGATTAATTGACAAGAATATAGAACGAAATTATCGTTACTTAATACATTATCCCGCAATTTTCATGGATTACCTGAGAAATAGCACGAAATTCCTGATTAAAAATCGAACCGGGGACCTCCAGATAACTACAATAAGGCAACATAACATTCCTGTCACAATGTACTAGCAGGCATTGTCAGGATCGCTAGACCCTGACTGAGAGTCGAAACGGTACCTGTGGAATGTGAGACTACGAGTTGCCGCTTCTGCAGTCTGCCCGGATGCTTGCACTGAATGTAGTGACGATGAATAGACGGGCAAGGGGCGAGGGGGATGCATGACAGTTCCGTACAGGGGGGCCAACACTCACAGCACAAGCATTTCATGTTCTAATGGCAAGGAAATGTAAATTAATCAAAATTAAAATGTTTTATTTTGTCACGAATGACACTCACCATAAGAAGTGCTTCTGCCAGTTGGATATTCCACTTCTTCAAGTTTTCACATCCTGTTTACAAACACAAAGTGATGTCCCATGTACTGTTTTTCTTTCTGTATTACACGTAACACAAATGTTTTGTCACACACGTTTCTTAAAACGTTGCTAACGAATGTAACATAGCGAAAGTATTGATTAGTCTCTTATTATTGCATTTATTATTATTATTATTAACTTCGATCAATATGTCAATGGACTTATTTGACGGCTTAACCGTATTGACAATTTGAGGTCCTTTCATTGCTGCTGTCGCTTTGAATTCCCCCACATAAACCAAAAGATGGGTGTATAGTTTTAATTTACAAACCTTTACAGGTTTATTATTACTAATGAAAACAGTGGTGTTGCCATTATTATTGATTTTTTTATGGCTTATACGTAAATGACGCTTTGCATTTGTTTCTTTTAACCTACGATTGAAAATAATAATAAAATGTCTGAGACCTCTTATTATTACTACTGTATAGTAATATAGCGGCACCAGCGGAATGGTAATTATCATATTAATAGCAATTACACTTTATGAAATAACATTTTTAAAACAAAGCGATTTATACAAGTTAATTTTCAGTCTAATCAAAGCTTGTTTAAACGAACGACATGACTATGCACTGGCACATTAGAACGTTTCAGCCTTCCAACAAAGCCCGCTTGAAAGGAACCTAACCGGTGCCATTACTGGATTGTACGACATTTATACATTTTATAAAACTGTTTAATAACAATATATCACCTCCACATTTCACTCACTTCACAACAACACTTTTAAACTGTCTAACAACACAGGCAAATACGTGTCTTATTCGCTCTACAAACTAGCTGAGTCATGACTCCACTATCACATGATTTCTTTGATTCAAAGCGCTCCTATGTCTCAAGTATGAAACTAAAGTCATGACCTTCGTTTTTCTTCTCTGTGCACACAAACCATAACTCGGCCGGGTATATCCAGGTGGCGTTCTAGGGAAACGACCTAATGTATTGCTTTCGTGTGCTGGTGAACCACATTCAATTTGAAGGAGTGGCTCTAGTTAGATCACGTTCAGAAATCAGACGTGTTTTTTTAAACGTAATAAGATATGATAGAACGAAAAACATGAATAGGCACATGATTTATTTTTCTACAGCCAAACAAGAAACCGCCTACTGTATTCATACAATATTACAATATGTATTAAATGTTTTTCGTATATTTTTCTTATATATTGTTACCGGAATTTTTCGAAGTCTTCAACCGAAATTCTAACGTACGTAATATTTTATATAGCTGTTTCATAAAACATAAAAAATTATAATATAACAATATTAAATGTATACAAATTAGATTAGCTTCAAGTTCCAAGAAATAACATAATTTAGAACTTAGTCACCTTTGGTCATGTAACTATCCTAATATCCGTTTTAATATTATTCTTACATCTCTGAGTCATCTAAATCACGTGATTGCTTGGAACCTGAAGCTAATCTATTTTATATACATTGTATAGTTATTAAAGGCAAAGAATCACGGAGCAAACTTTTGTGTTGATGGTGATGAACCTTGTTCCACAGCAACAGCTGGAACAGCTAATTATTTAATTAATGACTATCACTTATCACAGAAGCTCCTGTACTAATCAATACGCTGTTCAGATAGACGAGCAGATGTGTGTTCAGCCAGCACATTAGCCAATCATTTAAACGGTCAGTCACAATCCAGTCTTGATTTTACACAAAACATGATTATATTAAAGGATAGAAGAGAAATCCATGCCATTCACCTCAAATAAAAAATCAGAACAGACACAATAGTTTTAGGAAGAAGCAAGTGTCCATCTTTACAATATAAAAATATACAATTCGATGACAAAATTTACATGTACAATTTTTACTTGTAGGCTCCTACAGGTGTAACATGCTGAGTCCCCTTTAAGTTTATCGTATCAAGTTCCTGTTACCTATCTACGTGGCCCTGAAGATGGAAGCAGGATGTTTCTCCGAAACTTTTTTATCTGTCTACAAGTGTACATCGTGTTAGAATTCAGAAGACCAACATTGACCATCAGTAGCCGTGAGAACCTCAAATCCCTTGATGTTACAGACATATAATTCCATAAGGCCCACCTGCATGAAAAATATATTTGTTGTAATGATAAAGCTTAGGTCCCAATTTAAAATGAGTACACACACATTTTGATTCACTTTTCTTTAGATTGAATTTTCTATTACTGGAAACAATTAAATGCACAATAAATTCATGGTTTTACGTATTACACGGAATTAATTTGTAATAAAATAGAGAATGAATTTAATCTATATTGTTTATTCACGTGGACTGGTACAAATGAATCCCAGATTAAGACTGTAGCATCATTTTTATAAAAAAATGTTAACTGGCGTTAGTTTGTTTATATTTTGTTATTTAATGATTGATTAAATTCGTGTTATAACTCAGGAGGCTCCTCTCCGCATTCTTATTCAGGTCAGTCTATGGGGAGTTTAAGTGGAAAAAATGGCAGTGGGGCAGCTGTCCAGTATCTCAGGGATCAGAAATGACCCTTCAGAAGCCAAGATTCTTAGACACAGTCTCACCCTATTGCAAATTTAACCTAAATATTGAACAAAGAAATCCTGCTCCCACCATATAATAGACGTATCGCAATAACTCAGTGTTCTCCGACTAGACAATCGCATTTCTTCTTCCTAAACTCAAAATAATTTCTTATAACATTAAATCAGTGATTAAATAACCCAAAATCAAACGCTATAATTTATTGACAACTTCTGAATTTATTCGATAATGAAATAAATCACCCACTGCGCCATTGGATGTTGCCTTGGAGTCTCAAATCGCAAACATTCCGAATAAAAAATAACAAATTACTTGCGCAGGTGACGCGGGACATTATAGCAACCATCACGCCAGTGTATCATTGTTCTGACGTCACACGTGCGTTTAAACGTCGTTGTTGTGTGGAGACGCAAGTGCATTGAATAGCTTGGCTGCTGCTCGTTTGTGGCCCAAATTACTAGTAGGGGCAGTGTACCCACTATCCCCTCGCCCCACCCTACAAACATTGCAGCACCCCCACTACTGTTAGATGATCTCAACTTTGTCGGATATGACGTTTCATACAGCGCAGATTTCCAATTGTAATTACGTATATGAGTATACCGCCACGGTGGTCTAGCTTAGAACGCGGGCCTTGTAATCCTGGGGTCTCGGGTTCGATTCC